TACAGAAGATAATCAAAAACTATTTTGAATCCTTATACTCCAATAAATTAGAAGATAGTGAAGGCATAGATAAATTTCTTAAGTCATATGATCTGCCCAGATTGAGTCAGGAGGATATAGAAAACCTAAACAGACCAATATCAATTGAGGAGATAGAAGAAACCATCAAAAGACTACCAACTAAGAAAAGCCCAGGTCCCGATGGGTATACAGCAGAATTTTACAAAACCTTTAAAGAAGAACTAATACCAATACTTTTCAAGCTACTTCAGGAAATAGAAAAGGAGGGAGAACTTCCAAATTCATTCTATGAGGCCAACATCACCCTGATACCTAAACCAGACAAAGACACTTCAAAGAAAGAAAACTACAGACCAATATCTCTAATGAACCTAGATGCAAAAATCCTCAATAAAATTCTGGCGAATCGGATACAAAAACATATAAAAAAAATTGTACACCATGATCAAGTAGGATTCATCCCTGGGATGCAAGGCTGGTTCAATATACGGAAATCAATAAATGTTATTCACCACATCAATAGACTTAAAAATAAGAACCATATGATCATCTCGATAGATGCGGAAAAAGCATTTGACAAAGTACAGCATCCCTTTATGTTCAAAACTCTAGAAAAACTAGGGATAACAGGAACATACCTCAATATTGTAAAAGCAATCTATGCTAAGCCTCAGGCTAGCATTATTCTGAATGGAGAAAAACTGAAGGCATTCCCTCTAAAATCTGGAACAAGACAGGGATGCCCTCTCTCTCCACTTCTCTTCAACATAGTTCTCGAAACACTGGCCAGAGCAATTAGACAGACGAAAGAAATTAAAGGCATAAAAATAGGAAAAGAAGAAATTAAATTATCACTATTTGCAGATGATATGATTCTATATCTAGCAGACCCAAAAGGCTCTACAAAGAAACTATTAGAGCTAATAAATGAATTCAGCAAAGTGGCAGGATTTAAAATCAACACGCATAAATCAAAGGCATTCCTGTATATCAGCGACAAATCCTCTGAAATGGAAATGAGGACAACCACTCCATTCAAAATATCTTCAAAAAAAATAAAATACTTGGGAATCAACCTAACAAAAGAGGTGAAAGACTTATACAATGAAAACTACAGAACCCTAAAGAGAGAAATAGAAGAAGATCTTAGAAGATGGAAAAATATACCCTGTTCATGGATAGGCAGAACTAACATCATCAAAATGGCGATATTACCAAAAGTTCTCTATAGGTTTAATGCAATGCCAATCAAAATCCCAATGGCATTTCTTGTAGAAATAGAGAAAGCAATCATGAAATTCATATGGAAAAATAAAAGACCCAGAATAGCAAAAACAATGCTAAGCAAGAAGTGTGAATCAGGCGGTATAGCGATACCAGACTTCAAACTATACTACAGAGCAATAGTAACAAAAACAGCATGGTACTGGTACCAAAACAGGCGTGTGGACCAATGGTACAGAATAGAGGACACAGAAACCAATCCACAAAACTACAACTATCTTATATTTGATAAAGGGGCTAAAAGCATGCAATGGAGGAAGGATAGCATCTTCAACAAATGGTGCTGGGAAAACTGGAAATCCTTATGCAACAAAATGAAACTGAATCCCTTTCTCTCGCCATGCACAAAAGTGAATTCAAAATGGATCAAGGAACTTGATATCAAATCAGAGACGCGCCGTCTGATAGAAGAAAAAGTTGGCTACGATCTACAGTCGGTGGGGTCGGGCTCCAAATTCCTCAATAGGACACCCATAGCACAAAAGTTAATAACTAGAATCAACAAATGGGACTTACTCAAACTAAGAAGTTTTTTCTCAGCAAAAGAAACAATAAGAGAGGTAAATAGGGAGCCTACATCCTGGGAACAAATCTTTACTCCTCACACTTCAGATAGAGCCCTAATATCCAGAGTATACAAAGAACTCAAAAAATTAGACAATAAGAGAACAAACAACCCAATCAACAAATGGGCCAAGGACCTGAACAGACACTTCACAGAGGAGGACATACAGTCAATCAACAAGTACATGAAAAAATGCTCAACATCTCTAGCTGTCAGAGAAATGCAAATCAAAACCACCCTAAGATACCATCTCACTCCAGTAAGATTGGCAGCCATTAGGAAGTCAAACAACAACAAGTGCTGGCGAGGATGTGGGGAAAAGGGTACACTTGTACATTGCTGGTGGGACTGCAGATTGGTGCAGCCAATTTGGAAAGCAGTATGGAGATTTCTTGGAAAGCTGGGAATGGAGCCACCATTTGACCCAGCTATTCCCCTTCTTGGTCTATTCCCTAAAGACCTAAAAAGAGCATGCTACAGGGACACTGCTACATCGATGTTCATAGCAGCACAGTTCACAATAGCAAGACTGTGGAACCAACCTAGATGCCCTTCAATAGACGAATGGATAAAAAAAATGTGGCATTTATACACAATGGAGTATTACTCTGCATTAAAAAATGACAAAATCATAGAATTTACAGGGAAATGGATGGCATTAGAGCAGATTATGCTAAGTGAAGCTAGCCAATCCCTAAAAAACAAATGCCAAATGTCTTCTTTGATATAAGGAAAGTAACTAAGAACAGAGTAGGGACGAAGAACAGGAGAAGAAGATTAACATTTAACAGGGATGAGAGGTGGGAGGGAAAGGGAGAGAGAAGGTAAATTGCACGGTAATGGAAGGAGACCCTCAGGGTTATACAGTGGAGGGGGTAGAGAGAGAGGAGGGGAGGGGAGGGGAGAGGTGGGGAGGGGGGAGGGTGGATGATGGGAAAGGCAGCGGAGCACAACAGACACTAGTATGGCAATTTGTAAATCAATGGATGTGTAACTGATGTGAATCCGCAATCTGTGTATGGGGTGAAGGTGGGAGTTCATAACCCACTAGAATCAAAGTGTGGAATATGATATGTCAAGAAATTTGTAATGTTTTGAACAACCCACAATAAAAAATTAAAAAAAAAAAAAAAAAAAAAAAAAAAAAAAAAAGTGTGTCTATTACAATAAACTTTAGGCCCAGATATAATAATGACTGTTGAATGTTTTTCTGCAGTGTCCTCTACTTATTTTTTCTAAAATGTCATATTTGTAGCACTCTTAAGACCTTCTGTGGAAAAGATTTGACTTTGACTTTGTATTTTTAAAGTAGTCTTTGGGTTAATTTGTTTTCTTATATCCTTAATTTTGAATCAGAAACTAGAACAGCAGAAAGATATACTCAAGGTTAAAGTAATCAGTGAATAAGACCTAGAAATAGCATACATTATGAAAATTTCTTTTTGGAACTTGTCTACTGAAGTTTTTGTATCTTTGTTATTGATACTTTAAAACTATCAGAGTACTTAGTATTGAGTAGCACAGAACTTATGAAATATGCTTATTTCTTCAAGTTTCTGGTTTGCCCTTTTGTACAGATTTAAAAATGTTAATATGGAATATGCAAGTTCAGAGTACACATGAGTAAGAGTCTAACCAGGAAACAAACACTATGAAAGAATTTGGAGTACTGGGGAGTTTACTGTTGAAGGATAGCTATAAGGTGATGGAGCCAAGAAGCAGAGGACTATGAGGCAACAGAGAGATAAAAACCAGTGGAAATCATTGCCATCCCTAGTTCAGAGGGGCATAAAGAAGAAGGAAGGCTGTATCATATTTCATGGGCTAAGATTGTCACAGCTATTTGGAACCATGGTGGAACTGTGCAGAGAAAAGTTGAAGCAGTAGAGAAGGTGTAAGTGCTCCTGAGATCCCTTTGAGAGTAGTGAAGGCAGGGATGGAGATAATATTTTTGTTTCTCCTTTCCTCCCTCTTTTTACTCTCCCAATAGCAGCATCTGCCTTTAGCTGAACCCAGCTGGGACCAGCAGATATGGGTTCCTGAGAAATACAGGCTGCTTTGTGATGTGGAGTAGAACAGGGAGTTAGTTGGAATGGCTATAAAGCAACAGATCCAGTCCTGACACACTTGGCAGCTAAAACCCAAATGTACTAATTATGTTTTTTAAAGCAATAGAACTTGGGGAGGGAATTTAGTTGAAAATTTAGGTTTCCATGCTACATGAGTTTTGACTGTTTCTTTGATAAGTACCTTCAAATAAATATTTAGCCTAAATACTTAATTTTAAAAAATTTATAAAGCCATAGAGGTGAAATATGTTCAATGTCATATTTCTAGAAAGTGCTAAGGCTGGGACTAGAGCCCAGCCTTTTTACAATTTACTGATGACTTTCCCATTCTACAAATTAAATAAGTAAGTAAGTAAACAAACAAACAAATAAATAAATAAATAAATGGCCTGGGACAATGGCACTTGCCCATAATCCTAGAGGTTTAGGAGGCTTCGGCAGGAGGATGGCAAATTCAAAGCCAGCCTCAGCAATTTATCGAGGCCCTAAGCAACTTAGTCAGACTCTATCTCAAAATAAAATATAAAAAGGACTGGGAATGTGGCTCAGTGGTTAAGCATCCCTGGGTTCACTCCCTGGTACCAAAACAAAAAACAAAATAAACATCAACAACAACCAGTCCAAACATAGTCTTTTTAAAAACTTCTCTTACCTCCAGTGTGCTCATATGTAGATTGGGAATAATGATACTGGCAATGCCTGGCAGGGAAGATGTGTCCAAAAATGGAAGAAATATATGGAAAACTTTTTAAAAATTTTCTCAGGCTTATGAATTCAGGTATTATTTATTGTGTGGATGGGAAAGAGAATGATTTTATCTTTCTTTTTCATACTTTAAAACCACTTCTTAAATTGGCCAGTGTTCCAAACCATTTTCTTTTCCTGTCCTTACTTTTTAATATAGTAGTTATTTGGGGCGGATTGTGTGTTAGAAGATGTACTAACAAGGACTGAAAAGAAATATTTAACTTAAAACATTCAGATTTAAACATTTCTGTTTTGGAAAAGACATCTTAAGGAACTTTGAAGTATCTACTCTTTTGTTCTTCCTCTAAATCTAGATTAGAAAAGCAATGCAGACTTCAAAGACATCCAAAGAACAAATGCTTGTAAAACAACACAAGCAAGTGTGGTGGCAGGAACACCAAAGGCTAAACAAAGTCAGGTAAGCACTTGGGGAGTTTCAGCACAACATGAAGGGTTCACTAGGAGTTGCACTTGTCTAATCAGATGTTCTATAATGTTCCATGTTAATTAAACCATTACAATGAAAATTTAGATTTACAGTTTGAATTTGGGTCAAATTAAAATCTTCTCATTTCCTCAGCCTAATCTGGAATCCAGGGAATGGCTTTTGTATTCTGTAGAAAATTAGAAGTATTGTCTCCATCTGCCCATTGTTTACTCTTTTGCACACCTACTGTCTTGCTTGCATTTATGTATATCATACTTAGCAGGTTGCATTATAATGTGTGGGTACACATTTGTTTCTCCACTAAGGTGATAAGCCACTGGAGGGCAAATATCATATCACAGTCATCTGTATGTTGTGGAATAAGCAGGAGATATGTAAAATGCTTTCAGTACCTAGGTAAACAGATGAACTAAGGACTTGTTTAGTGGTTTTCTTAATATAGTTGCATCATGACTTAATTCAGTTATGGTATTTGACTTTTGTTATTATTTCCAGCAGTTATTTAAAGAAGAATTAAAACAAAATAATAATGTCATATTTGATCTTCATTGTAATCTCTTAAAAATAAATTTCAAAAGTAAAAGCAAGGAGAAAAGAGCTGTATTTCTCTTCCACTTAAGGCATATGTACTTGCTTTAACAATGGTGGTATTTATAAAGTATGTTTGTTAAATGTGTATTATAAAGCATTTATTTTATATCAAAATAGACAATTTATGTGATCTTATTCTGAGTCAAGTTTCCCAATATAATCAACTTTACTTTTTTTTAAAATATATTTTTTATATATTTGTTGATGGATCTTTATTTTATTTATTTATTTATATGTGGTGTTGAGGTTTGAGCTCAGTGCCTCACACATGCTAGGCAAGCACTCTACCACTGAGCCACAACCCCTAACTTTACTTTTGACTTCGGTGCTTTTCATGTTGGTAGGAGATTCTTATTCTAGCAAGCAAGTCCTATATGTGAGGTAAAAGTTCATGACTGGCAAAGGTCTCATACTATAGTATAACTCAAAACACAAAAATAAAATTACATAGACTTTATCACCATACTTCTCCTATAAAAACAACTATATCAGACCCACTTACCCTTAAAAAATCACCTTTAGTAGAGAGAAAATGTTTGAGCCCATTAGAAATTGTTTTTGAAAATTTGTATAACTTGAAATAGGATAAAAAGGAAAGCCAATATTAGGAAGCTTTAATTATGGTGTTCACTGATGCAAGTTCAAATTAAAAAGAAGACACTGGGAAAAGTGTTTGTTTGTTTTTTAATCGTGGCTGTTCCACATTCCCCTTTGTGTGTATTAAGCTATTCTTGAGATAGAAGAAACATATACACATCATTATGGAAAGTTTCTGTTGGCTGACTTGGAATGACACAAAGATAATGGAAGTGAGGAACACTTTAGTGATAAAGATCATAACGTCTTAAAACATTATAAGGACTGAAAATTGAACAAAAAGAATCCCAATATGATTTTAAGTGTTATTCTAGAGTGTAGGCTAATTTCATTACATATTCAGTAAATTAAAAACTAATATCAATAAGAGATATGTAAGGGAAATGGCTAGATTTATGGAAAATTTAAGGACTGCAAGCAAATCCATAGTTTAAGCTTTATCAGTGTTTGCCAACCTTTCAAAATCCAAACCCCATTAAATATTATTATGTCTTAGCAGAATACTCTTTTTGAGAAACTCAGACCAACAGAAAATAAGGACCAATAATAACATTCAACTTTTCTTGGGTAATTTAGTATGTTTTAGGAAATATGTTAGGTACTTTACATGCTTTATCTCATTTAATCCTTACAATGTAGGTATCACTGCTGTATCAGTTTATGAAATTCTTGAGTCTCAGAAGATTAAAATTACTTACAGAAGATAAATAAGGTAGTTTGGGTGGATCAAGGATTTGCACCTGTCTTCTGTGCACCATGACCTTGGAAATAAGCAACTTTTTCTTTATCACATAGGGTTTCTATCTAATTGATACACCTGCGATCTAATTGATACAAACTTGCTAGCCAAAAAAAAAAAAAAAAAAAAGAAAGAAAAGAAAAGGCAAAGCTTATGATTCTTAAAAAAAATCTGAACTAAGGACACTAGAAAAAAATTTCCAAATGTAAAAATTATGTTTAATATTTAAATTTATAAAATTTTATTTAAAATGTAATGGGCTTACTCAAACTATATCCCTTAAGGACTCTGATAAACTTTCCCAGGAGCACTTACTCCCTTGTTTCATTCTGGTACCACAAAGAACCCTGTATTTTTATGTGATCATTTGTCTAGATGATATATTAATCTATGCAGTGCAACCACCTGCAGACAGAACAGCCTGGTAAAGGGTATTTCTGAGCCTTAAGTACAGGTCCTCACCCTTCCAGGATGATTTTAGGTGGAGAATCAGATCCTAAGAACACCAAAAATTATCCATAGCTTCCCTCTTCTGGCAATTTGTATGCTCCATTATTGCTTTCTGGGTGCTGAAAATATAAGATAAGCTGGATGGGTTTTTTAGTGCTATATTTTTGGTTAAAGAGTTCTTTTCTGAAAAAAAAAATTCTGGTTTGACTTCATAACATACCCATCCTACATGTATGGTTGCAAATGTGATCTTAAAATATTTCTGACAAAAACTACCTGCAGGGAAAACAGACACTGAGGTGCCACTTACAATAATAGCACCACTTCTTTATACATGTAAACAAAAACAAAACCCCTGTCTCATGTAAGTCAATTGTAGAAGGTGATGGTGTGTATGTGTGTGTACACATGTGTATATAAATGAAATACTATGCATCCATGAAAATAATAAAACCACTCAGATATATCTTTAAAAAGGTGTTAAGCAAAGAAACATCCTACAATATAAAATGTTAAATATACCATTATCACAACTACATAAAATAACGTAATCAAGGACTAGAAACTCATTTGCAAAAAATGAAAATTATCATTGTATGAAAGTATTGCAATTGTTGCTATTTTCTTATGTTTTAGTATTGTTCTTTAATAATAATAATAGATTGAAACAGGTTTGATTGACTGCCATAATCAAGGAATATAGTATTTTTAGATGCCCAGTTATTTTACTCTAAAAATGACTGTATTTTTAAAACACAGTAAAAGATCATAAATATTTATTACTCTTATTAGTATGTAAAAATGAAATAAAGCTTCACTCGAATTTCCTTTGTTCAGAATCTTATCATTTCTGAACTTTTAAAATAGCTTCCTTGTTGGTCTGGTTTTTGCCTAATCTCCTTTTCATCTTCCATTTCTATTGCTCATCCCACCCCAGGTCCTTCCTCTATCTTGCTGCCTTCGGAATTTTTCTGAAACACTACTCTGAGCAGGTGAGGTCAGCTTGGTGTCCTTTAGTAACTTCCCGGTGCCGGTTCTCTCTCCATGAAGTAGTGCTGGGACTGCTGTGTGCTGCCTTTGTTCTTGCTATTACTTCTGCCTGAGCTTAGCAAGTACCCAGTCCATGTTAGGAATTTAGCACAAGGTCTGAATCAATTAATAGATGAACAAAAGCACATTAGATTGCTTCCACTTATTTCTTAAACTTATATGTATGTTAGTAATTGTAAAAATATTGATTGAGATATGTCTATTTCAGATTTAAATTGGAATCTGATATAAAATCTTTTCTCAATGAAGAGAACATTGGAAATGAATGTCTTTGTGATGTTATGAATTCTGGTAAGCTTTTTAAATCCTATATTTAAAGGCACATTTTATTTTGAAGAATGAAAATGAGCCACTCACTTCATGCTTTTTTAATATTTTAAGAGTTTTTTTTCTAAAAGAATAAAAAAATCTGCACTCTTATCATTTGTTCTTTAAGAAACTTAATAATGTATTTCCTCGATTCAACCTTGTTTCACCACAGAACAAGAGTTATCAGAACAATGGAGCACATATCTTAAAAATGTGATAAATCCTATTCTGCAGCTGAGAACATATCTAAAGTATAGACAACATCACATTTCCCAGAGTTCACATGCCCATAAAGAGTTTAATGCAGTGACAGTACTGGAAGAGGTCAGTGTGTTACCTTTGTTTTTGATAATGTAATATTTCATTTTTGTCCTTACTAGAATAGTTTGAAATAAGAAATAAACATATGAATTGTGTATTTAAATAGAAAGGTTATTCAACATCTTAAACTTAAACATAGGCTGAATCTGTCCAGGTACCCTCATTTCTCACAACTGCTCTCCCTGCTTTCCTTTTTGCCCTTCCTCCCAGTGTATTCTGGGATCCAGTTGTCCTGATGTTGAAATTCCGTGGGCTTCTTCTGCCCTTGAAGTCTTCCTTCCCATCTGAGCCCCTTCCAGCTTCTTTATTCACATCTTCTTCCTGATCTGTACCTTTCTACAGAAACTCAGTACCATAGATTCTGGCCATCTTTTTGTGTCTCCCACATATCAGGCTCATTCCTATTTCAAGGACTTTACATCATCTGTTTCCTATATCTGGTTGGTGGTGCTTTCTGTCATTTAGTTCTTGACTTAAATGTCTTTCCTCTGAGAAGCTACTGTCACTTCCCACCACAGCACCCTGTTTTTATATTACTTCCTGTTAATGCTTTCTTAAGTAACTCTTAGTTTGTTGACTGCTAAGATCTATTGTTGTGCTAAGTATGAGGTTTTAAAATGATTTTTCTTTCTCTAATTTTCAGTTATTCTGTGGTTTTATACTGCAATAATAATACTTTAAATCTATACCTCACTGCTGACTATAGGCAAGGATGCAAGGGAAGGAAGGGGTGATTTAAGTAGAAAAAATTCTGTTCTCTGCCTTACAACTAATAAAATGTAAATGTGGGTGTGGGGTAGCTACAACTTTTTGGAAATAAGTGTCTGGAAGTCTCATTGAGGTTCATTTGTCTGATGAGCACTGCCATAGGGGCATCTCTAATTTTCTGTAACAGGTCCTCAAAAGGATTTTCTCTTATCTAACTTTCTATCACTTCTTGGCTTTTGAGAATAATTCTTGTGTCCTTACATACAAAAACTGGATAACTTGTAATAATGTGAGTACTACTTGTACAACACATCTTCTAGGTTGACTTTGTGAAGAAACAATTGAAAGCTGTCTTTGAAAGACTTAGACTGGAGCAACAGGAAATAGAAAGAGATCTTTCAGGCTGGAATATAAAAGTAAGTGTGATGAAACTAGTAATTTATTTGTCTATCATTTTGTCACTTATGTTAAATAAAGTAATCACATAATTTGTTTTCAGATACTGGATTATTGTTCAGAAGAGAAAACTAATCTTAGTGAACTACCCATGGAATTAGAAACTTTGGAATGTCCATACCCTGATTTGAAATCTTCAATTCTCAAAGAGTTCTATAACTTTACAGAGAAATATCAAAAGAAACTTCAAGATTTTGATGTACAGTTAGAAGACATAAACAGGTGACTTGATAAAACTACTTGAATCCTGTAGATTTTTTATACTAAATTTAATTTTTGTTCATGGTCACTATACTTCTGATTTACTATTGCATAGTTACTATGTGATGGGAAGTTAACAATAAATGTTTAGATTGGTTATTTGTTGAATGGAGAGGGTTTTCCCAAAATAATTATCTTGATATAAAGATTTTAAAGATTTTTATAAGGTTAAAAGATGACAATAATCTATTTATTAGCCTTCTTTCCTGTACAAGTTAGTTTTCAAATAGGAATTTTCAGTGACTATTAATTTTCATTTCAATATATAAAGCTCTTCTATAGTGGAAATTTACAAATCAGCACTAATAATTGATTATAATTAAAAATATATTAATGAAATTATGTTACTTGTAATTAACTGTGATTTTGTCCTGTAATAACCCAGAGTATGTTTTCAAAATTTTAAAAAACTTTTCCTGTAAATGTCAATTTTTTTTTAAAAGAAATAGTCTTTTGGTTGCATCTTGAGAAGGATGTTTCTCTTTGGAGTGGCAAACATAATTTTCAGGAATTTGAAATTCAATTCTGGCTGTGATCATCTTCTCTAGTGTCTTCTATATTATAATTCACACAAATGGAGAAATCCAGATATGCTTCCCTGAGTAGGATTGATGGTTGGTCTTAGATCCTGTCTGTACATGATGTCTCTGGGGGACATTTTGTAGAAAAAAGTGCTTTTCCTCTTTGATATCAGTGTCAATTTTTTCCTCAAAGAATTTATATTTAAAAAGAAAGGAAAACTACAGAAAGGACACATGGAGGAAATTAAAAATAATAGAGGTTCTTAACTTTGAAATGGAAGATGATAAATATAACAAATATGTGTATTTTTTATATCTAATTAATCACTGAGAATACAGATCTTTATATGAAACTGCTGGTGTTTAGAAATAGACAATAAGGAAAATTTTAATTCCTCCCAAGTAGAGTTCTCTGCTTTGGTAGCTCCCCAATCCAAACTCTTGGGTTACATCTGTTACTTATCTCAGCACAATAGAGCCCATTCAAGGTGAAGTCTGGGCCTTTCCTTACCTTAGCTTCCTTCTTACACCTCTGTGGGGATGTTCCTGTGTTCCTCTCCATCAGCATCTATTTTTCTTCTGGGAGCTCCTCCTTTTCTACCTCTCTCCCTTGTTTTTCTTCTTCCCACCTGGCAATAAAGCTGAAAAATAAATTAATAATGTATCATGTACACTTGTTGATTGATGAGTTTATTACCCTTTAATTGGAATTCAGTCACAGTGAAGTATTAGCTAAACCATATACTTAGATTAAGTTTCTAATTATAAAATGAATATCCTCTCCCAGTTTTCCGTCCCAACCTTGTTAAAGAGATTTCAGAACTCATTAGGAAAGAGGTGCAGTGTTTTTGTTTGGTGAGGAAAAGGCATTCTGAATAGGCTGATTAGCTGTGACTTGAAGAAGGTTAATCTTTGTCCTTTAAAAGCCTCTGACTTTTCCTCCAAGATGGCACCTTGTCCTCGTGAGAAAGCTGGCTGAGTTTGTGGTATCTCTAGATTAGCAGATCCTAAATATGGAGGTATTTTCTTCAGGAGCCTGAGATGGCTTCCTTATAGTAAGATCTGTTCTTCCCACCGCACTTTCCTTCCTTTTTAAAAATCTTAACTCAATTTCTGTTCTTCCGTCATATGTAATCCTATGCCACTCAAAAAAGTTGAGATTCACAGCTCCTTCAAATTACTAAAGATTAAGTAGAGAATTTATTGAATATATTTCACATTGCTAAAGTTTCTGCAGAAGGAAGAAACATTGAGGATAAAATTACTCAGGAAAGCTTGATGAAGGATCTGAAGTTCACTATGGACTTTGAAGAATGGGCAGAGTTAGCATCAGCAGAAAGCAAATAGGGAGGACATTCTAAAAAAGAAGATTAAATGATTAGAATATAAACCTCTTTATATCAAAGTAACTTATAGCTATATTAGTGTCCATAGCATCTAGTACTTTCTACACAACGCATCTTCTAAGTGATTCAGTTGACTTGAAGGTAAAAACAATGAAGGAAATAGTGAAATGGCATGTTCCTGGATGGTAGGAATCTACTTGGGAGGAATATAAGGTTCATAAATTCTAGTTTAATGGTTCTTGCCACACATAATTATCCAAAATACATTTTGCATAATTGATTATGTGTTTTAGTTGTTGAATATTTATTGATTAATCTTTAATGTATAGTGGTCTCTGTTAAACTCCTTGGTAGGAGATTAGGCAGACAGATTAACTTAGAATATGGTTTTACTATGATAATTTGAAATATTTTGGGAAAGAGACATATACATATGTACCCTCACTAAATAAAATTACATGCAAACATTAATTAAAGAAAATGTGAATATGCTGGCAGTGAATAATAAAGCTTCAATCAAAACTTAATGAGTTTTCAGGAATAAGTTTCCTTGAGGTGAAAGAGAGTAAAAGGAATAATTTGAATAAAGATAGAGGTGGTTGGCATCAGTATTCTAACGCTGGTGAGCAGTGTTGCATATAAATACACTGTTCTAACTAGCACAATGAATTACATGTTCAATTATAATATTAATTGCAATTTCCATTTGTCAGGATCCACCTTCATTTTGATATGGTCATTTTCCCTTCTGGTTCTAGCTATTATGTTTTGTGAAAATTCTCACAGATTACATGCATGTATGTGCACACCAGTGGGAGAGAGTGTGTGCACACTTTAAAAGGGATACTAATCTAGATTATTGTTTTAAGCCAGAGTGTCTGGAGTTTTTAATTGTTTGAATCTTAAAACATCCATCATTTGATACAATTATTACCCAGGGCCCGTAGTTTACATTAGGATCACAATCCTTCCATCCCTAGTTATTTTTCATTTTCAAACTTTGTTATTACATAATTTATTTCTATAAAGCAGTATGGTGGAGCCTATTAAATCACACAGCACATATCCTTTGTCTGAATAGTTTCTATATTTCAAGAATGTATCATAAAAATATATTTAAGTATATAAACAGATTTATTTTTATTTATTTATTGCAATAGAAAAGATTGAGCAAAACCCTTAATAAAGGCTAGTTTTATAGATTTTTATACATCTATACAATGTATTATTCTACTGGTAAAAAAAGTTTTAAAACTTTGCTGATTTGGAACAATATGCAAGGGGTAGAGTGAGGTATAGAGTTAAGCAAGCAAAATAATTTTCAATTCATATTGTGTAAAAGGGGGGAAAATAGACATATACACACTCTCACACACACCTGTATTTGCTCTTGTAGGTCTTAAAGAATGCGCAAAGAGAGATAACATTCATTGCTTTTGGCGAGGGGAACCAGGTGCTGGAGGATGGGGTGTGAGGAAGAATTTTCATTGTATTTCCCTTTTATTGTACTTTTAGAATTTTGAACACTATGAATATATTTTAAGTTCTAAAACAAAGAATTTTTAAAGGAAAAAAGTTGACAAGGGCAAAGATTGAACACCAAAGAGGAAAAGACTGGCAACGTATCAGTTACAAAATATTAAAATTCCTAATATATAAAGGCAGTTTGTAAATTCATTGAACACTGCGCAGTCAAAAGGCAAAGGGGGCAAAGGAGATAAAGAGGGTATTTAGTCATATTCTCAAAAATTATTTATTAAGCATATATTGGCATAACATAGATAAAAATCTCTGTACTCATGAAGCAAATGGAAAATGTGAAAGTGTAAACATAGTACCTAAATTAGGGTAAGACAGAAACGGCTGGAGTTGCAGAGGGCAGATTGCAATATTTTGGGTATAGGCCTGGTTGAGAAAGTGACATTGAATTGAAGTCATGAAATAAGTTGAAGGATTGCGTCATGAAGATATTTAGAGTAAATTCATCATATTCAGTATTTACCAAGGTGGGAATTTGCCTGGCAAGAGGCCAGTATGGCAGGAAATGAGTGACAGACCAGGAGAGTAGTTGAAGATGGAGTCAAAGAGGTAACAGCGAGGAGTAGGTTCTTTATTTATTTTTGCTGTGTGTGTCTGTTGCCAGGTATCACACCCAGGAATTTGTGCATGCTTACCAATGCTTAACACTGAACTATATCCCCAGGCTCAGAGACAGGATATTTAGAGCCTGTAGCTCTAAAATCTTTTTAAAACTTTGGATTATACTCTGAGTGATATGAGAAACTACTGGAAGGTATTGAGCCAAAGTGAACAGTAGCAAAACCTGGCTTAAGTTGTAGCAGGATCAGTTTGGCAGTTGCTGTGTTTAAAATACATTGTGATAGAGAAGTGTATAGCAAAAGAAAAGACTAGACATTTAGGAAATTATTAAAGTAATCCAGGTAAGACAGTGGTGGCCTGAGTGGAGGAGTAGAAGTGGTGAGAAATAGTCAGCTTTTGATATATTTTAAAGGTAGAAGCAACACCATCTTCTGAAAGATTTCATGAGACGTGAGAAAAAGAGAGAGCCAGAATAGTCCAATGTATTTGCTTATTTGAGTTGAGCAACTAGAACAATGGAGTTGCCATTCAATGAGGTAAGGAAGACTATGAGCAAGTGGGCTTTGGCTATTGGGAAGATCAGTTGTTTTGGTTTGGACATATTGAGTTTGGGGTGCTGTTAGGTGTCCATGTAGATATTTTATGGGGGCAGTGGGCTTGGCATTTAGGAAGGAAATCTGGATGGAGTTACATATTTGTGAGTCACTGGCAGGAGATGGGATGTAGTCAAGAGAGGAAAGAGAAGGTCAAAAACTGATCCCTTGGACCTGCCAATATTACAGTGTCCAGGAGAAGAGAGAGAACCAAAAAAGGACACTGAGATGTAAGCCAGGAAAGAGTTTTGGAAGGCAGGTAAAGAGGAAGTGGTCCACAGTATTAGCAGAGCTGGTGACCCCTGAATAAATGCTACATATAAGTTAAATAAAAGAGAATCATAAGTAACTGTTGGTTCTAAATGGAGGACCTTGGTGGTCATTTTTATTAAAAAGTAAAA